TTATTTTAAAAATTATTTTTAACTTTTTAGTTCGATGTGCTTTAAAAGCGTGTTTTTTTAGTTTTTTTAAACTATATTTAGTTTCATGTAATGATAGTAGTTACTATCAATATCATGGTTGTTACGGGTAACGGCAAATCAGGGTTCCATTCCGGGGAGAGAGTCTGAGAAACGGCTACCACATCCAAAGAAAGCAGCAGGCGCGTAAATTACTCATTCCCGGAACGTGGAGGTAGTGACGAAAAATGACGATACGGAAATCATCCCTCGTAATCGGAATGAATACTTTATATCTCTTAATTAAAATAAAGCGTGTTAATAAATAAATTTTAATAGTAATTAGAATATATATATATATACAAGTAAAGCGACTTAAGTACGTAAACGTATCATGCACTAGGTATAACCGTATTTTGTGGGCGGGCGGGTCGGACTAACGTTATACCTGAGGTATAAACGGTGGTAGGAATATATAAATATATATACGTAAGGCGCATTAGACGCGGGCGGTATTGGTCAGTCAAAATAAAAATTTGTTTATATACAGAGTGTTCAGTAAGTCAGGAAACGGGTTTCTATTGTTCTCATTGTTACAAACAATAGAAACCCGTTTCCAGACTTACTGAACACCATATATATATAATATTGATGACAAGCATGCGTGTACGGGTACGATAACTAAGAATAAATTTTTATAGGAATAGTGTGCCGTCTTGTGGTGAGCTAGGCGTGGGGAGGGGTGAATGCGTTATGACAGTCTAGTCTAGACGACGGAATATGCGATAACGCGTGGCGTTTGGAGAGTTACAATAATACATACATACATACATACAGGTGAAACTAATATAAGCGTGTTAAAAAGTTTGCCTCTCGGACCTCATCGGTTTGCTTCGTAATCAGTCGTGTAACGTGTTGTCATTAACACGCTTAAGTCATTAACACGGAGCAAATTTAAAGTAGGAAAGAGACGAAATCCAACAATAGAAGAAACTGATGCAATAGGGAAGTTATGAATATAGTAAGTTGAAGGAATAGGATAAGAAATACGTGAAAAAGACATTTTATAGCACTTAGAAGTATTAAAAGTCAAGCCAATTGATTCAGTCCAACTAACTAAGCGATCTAGATCAGTTTGTAGTAAAATAACATGAGAACAATTAGTAACACGCGTAAATAATTTGAAATCGTTCGCAAAAAGGAGTATTTTAGCATGCTGTAAAACAGAATTAGCACCATTTACAAAAATAAAAAAAGAAGGGGAGAAAGGATTGAACCTTGTAGAACACTGGAGGAGGGATTTATCACTTCAGAAGCCCATCCTTGAACATTTAACCACTGTTGTCTTTCAGTTAAATATGAAATTAACCAAGAGAGGTGTGGTTCAGCAAAACCAGCGTGAAATAAAAGTTCAGAAAGGATATTAAGTTTATCAAAGGCTTTTGAAAAATCAGTATAAATATATTTATATAATATATCATATATTTGAGCATGGACAAGGAAAAAATCATTAATAAACGATTGAAATACAACATTGCATGTTACTGTATTCCGGCTATAGCGGAAACCATGTTGAACAACATAAGAAAGGATAACGAATGTCGCAGGTTAAATAAATATTACCAAGAATAGACCATTAAAAACATCAACTATTCAAAAATAGGCATTATTAAGAAGATATAAAACAAATGGGGGAGAATATTAAGAGAAGATGAGGATTGAGAAAAGACTGAGGAATTATAAGGAATTAACATTAAAAATTTGATTTATAATTTGAGAAAAACATGTACCTTAAAAAAGCAAAAAAAAAATCTCAATATTATTTTTATTTTTTGATTAATTAATTGGGCCATGATAAATAAATCACACTTTATTTTTCGGTTAGCTTACAAACTCAACTAAATCCATCCTATACTGAAAAATATCCCTCATAATTGTCAGGACACTGTCACTGTAGTTAAATATATGTTACCATAAAAAAAAAAGATACTCTCATACAATAAGATAAAATAAAATGGACTCAATAATTATATAATATAATTTGAGATAGAAAAAAAATATTATCAAAAAATTATATTTCCAAAGATATTTTTATTATGTAAATACTTGAATGGGTTATAATAAATTAATCACAATTTATATTCTAGTTATGTTTTAAATATACATATTTTAGATAAATTAAAAAAACAAAAATCACTTTTAAATGTAAATACCATGAAAAAGCTTTTTATAATTAATATTATTTTTCTTTACTATATTTTTTATAATTAGGGAAACGGTGTGGCCAAGTCGGTAACACGGCAGTACTTGACGCGCATTACCTCGTGTTCTAAACTCGATCAAGGGCGACTTCATTTGGCGAACAAGAAATCAGTTCGGACACATTCCTCTCTTCAATGACGGACTAACCACCCTTCTCGGAGTAAAATGGTTAAGAAACATCCTCCCTCTTTTGGAGGAGACCGCTATGGCCTTTAATGGGCTGATAAAGCAATAAAAAAAAAATATATATTTTATATTTAAATATACACTTGATATATTAAACAAAATCGTGAATTTTAATTACAATCCATATACTGAATAAAAAAAAATATCAGTTCTATAAAAAATTAAAAATTAATATTTTGTACAATATTAAATGTTTTAATATATAATCAAATCTATCTAGTATGAAATTTTTTCAGATATTCTTGAAGTCCATCATAACTCACAGAAGGATCATTTTCATTAAAATTATCAGAATGGTTATCAGGCTGCAATAAAATTTTTTAATAAAAACGATATATATTAGCACATAACATGAATTTAACAAACTTGCTGCAATAATGAGACATATCCTTTGCAAAATTTGATTTCATTATTTTTTTGTAACTGAAAACGCACTGTAGGTAAAGTTAATCCAAAAAATAAGTCCCCATTATTATTTGATGGTATTAAATCATCTGTGCCAAGTAATTTATTTATAAGTGATATTAAATGACTATGGCATTCATCGCTACTTAAACCAGTAACTTTGAAATTTTTTTCTTGATCTATTATTTCAAATCTAAATGAAAATAAATAATTAATAATTTTTTTTAACTAGTAAACTGAGTAAAATTAGTATTAGATATCAAATCTTGGCATTAAAATTTGTAAAAGGTAAATATAGTTTTGTAGTAAAAAAAAAACAGTTATTACCTAATAAAAACATACACAAGAGGAAGAGGATAAACCCTATAATTAAAATACTTAAATTCTAAAGTTTTATTTTTATTTAAATTTGAGGACATAATAAATTTCTTATACTTGCACCCTTATAAAACAATTCTGAGTGTTGATAATTTTAAATTAATTAACATATATTTAACAGCCACAAAAATAAGACAAAATGTGACATAAATATAAAAAAGGATAGATTTAGAGTGATTTATTAATAATACCACCTCATTTTTTGTCAAATAACTTTTTAGAAAAACTATAAAATGATACAAGGAGAACGATTTTGGGTGCCTTACCCAAAATTGAAAAATTGGTAAACCACTAATTTTCTTAGAAACTTTTAAATATTTTTAACTTTTGTAAAAAAAAATATTATTATTTTATTATTCAAAATAACTACAATAGTACAATATGTAGTCAAATAATTCTTTTCCTTATAAAGATCAAAAAATAACTTCAATTTCTCAAATAGGAACCCCTATTTTAGCATCGACATAAAGTTGAGAAGGTATTAATTTTACCATGATATACTTATTTTTATTTAATTTTTTTTTTTTATGTCCGTTATCACTTTTTCTCAGCTCCCACTCGATCGATTTTTTCAATGAAACGTCGATAAATCACAAAATATATCTAGTGAAAAGTATTACCCTCAAAATTTGAAAAAATTTTTACTCGTTTTCCATAACTAGCGGAAATCTTAAAAAAATAACGATTTTAAAAATCAGTAATTTTTTACTTTTTTTAAACTATTCTTACTGAAAACTATCATAACTTCTTTAAAAATGAATAACCAAAACAATTTTATATAAATACCTTAAGTAATTCCCTTTCTTTAGGTATACATTTATTAAAAATCTGACCCTTAACCTACTGGTGACGTTTTAAAATCGATACTCTTGCATTAAAAGTTTTATCTTAACTTTTGAAAATATTCCAGGAAATTCTCGGAATTTCAAGCATATGTTAATAGAAAACTTATGTTACATACAATATTTAAAAAAAAAAAAATTGTCTTCTATAAGTAAACGGGCTCTAAGATTATTATCTTGGTATAAAAAAGTCACTGTTTTTTTTGATGTTATAATTTTTTTTTTCTATTAACTTGTTAATATTTTAGGTCTAACGATATAATCTTATAGAAGGTTAGGGGTATATACTCTATTTAACCCTATTTTGCAAGAAAATTATTAAAATGATTTAAGTCTAAGTATTAAATCTAATATTCTTTTATACAAATATTAAAAATTTTCAAAAAAACTAAAAAAATTAAGTATTTTACCCAAAATTGATCACATTAAAAAAACAAAAAATTTATACTTTTAAAATAAATAAAATGTTGATAAGTTATGTAGCATTACTTTTTAGATATTAGCAGTTAAAAGTTTAGAAAAGGTGAGCAGTAAGTAGTGTTTAGCGATGCTATATTTTTACTATAATTTACAAATAAAAATTCTACATTGTGCACCTCTCTCACCTACAACTAATAATTATGGTAACTCAAAAGTAATAATACAAAACTAGTTATTGACCAGTGAACATGTTATTTAATTCATTCTCAATTTAATAGTAAAGTTAATATTTAACTTTTGTAAGTTACTCCTAAAATCTATCATTAGTAATGATTTTATTAACAATGAAGTTGATATTTACTATTATTTATTAAATCTAAATAATATCTTTAAAAATAAAAATTAAGTTGATAAGATTATAAGGGGGTAAAGACCAAAATTGTTTGAAAATTTTAAATCGTAAGACATTATTAACTTTCAAAAAGAAAATATTTTTTTATATTTTTAAAGATATTATATAAATCATAGTGAAACAATCACTTAGTATGTACTAGATAGTGAAAAAAAAATTTAATGAAGCTATAATTAATTTAAATTAATTTATTTATTAATCAAATAATATTATAAAAATATGTTAATAAATATACACTTTACAATAACTCTAAGTAGGAAGGGCAGAAGGTTACTTGGTTCTAAAACTCTCAAGTAATTTTACGATTACAATGTTAAAGTAATAATTAAAAGTTAATAAATAAGTTTTGTGTACCTTGTTCTATCTTTGTAAATAAAAAATCATTATATGCATTAATATTCAAATATTTTCATTGTTTGACAAAAAATAAATAAAATGCACAACAAAAATAATAAATAATTAAATTCTGAACAACTTTTATATGAAACTTTTTTTAGTAGGATGAATAGTTGGTTTGCAATATTTGAATAAACAAATAAAATCAATTTTAAAATACAAAAATATGTTTATTTTCAATTTTTAAGTCTAAGTATATTAGATACTGCTTTTTTGCTAATAACATTTTTTTTGGCAAATATTTAGTTCTATAACTTTGTCTGTAAAAAGCATGGTTTGTAAGATAAGTGATGAAAAACAAAAAACTACCCCTACAGTCAATTTTTTAATTCTCTAGCGTTACTTATATTAACATCACTCAATTTCAACCAAAATTTGTACAAATTAATTTTTTACCTAATGAAGAGATTCTAGGTGTATTTAATAAATTTTAAAACTTCACTTTTAAGAACCACCTTAGTAAATATGGTATAAAATTACCTAGGTGAAGTACCAGCTTTTATGATTCTACAGTGATAAATGCATTTAGAATTAATACTTCTATAATGAGCATAGATTCTAGTTGCATAGTAGCCAGCAGGATAAACAGCACAATCTGTATGATAAAATGGTGTGTCATACACAATCTGAAATTTATAAAAATAAACTGAATTATTTAAAGTAAATTTGAGTGTTAGTTATATGAACTATGTTGTAAAAGCACAAAATAGACCGAATTTAAAAATGTTTTCTAATTTTCTGTATAATTTAATTCTACTAAAGTAAATTTAAAAATGAACTAAATATATATAGTTCTGATTTTAGACTATAACTAAGTATTATTAGATGTGATATATGTTAATTATTTTTGTTTCTCAGCTGACAAACATTAATTTATACAAAATTTTTAATAAACTGTCATTATTTTTATCAATTTAATCAAGAATGCTTATATATTTTAAACTGAAAAATATAATTTTCAATATTAGGCTATTTATATCTAGTTAAAGATAGCCTAATATATTATCATTTACAGAGCCACATTTAAGAATAGCCCAGGGTACTCAATAATATTGCTCCCAATGACATTTTTATTGTTTACTAAGAAACTTTTACTCTGTATCAGAATTTTTAATTTAAATAAGCAAAAGAGAAAAAAAAAGGTCTTCAGCTCTATATTTCATATTGCTAGATAGATGTATTATATTACTAATGTTTTCTCTAATAGCGCTTATGACATATGCACCCTTCAGCTCTTCTAGATGTGACCCTGATTATTTATGTTTTTACAAAATGAAAAGAAATAGAAAATTATATAGGTAAATTTTATCATGCTGAAATATATAAGATTACTATTCTCCCCAACATTTAGTCTTTAAAGAGAAGATAATACATACTTGACCAAAATTTAGAATTGTTACACTACCAATAGATATAGGTACTTCTAATTCTTCCAAATTCTTCTTTTTTTTTAAATTAAGTCGTTTAGGTTTAGGGACTCCTTATAATGTAAAAAGAAAATTGTTAATTGTTTTTCTAATTTTTATTTCAAAAATTCCTATAACACTTACCATTTAGATTAGTTTTTTTCCTCACTGATGTTTTTTTAATTGCATTAGATTCAATATTTGCAGCTTCCAAGTCTAAGATATAGGTATGATAAAAAAGGAGAAATTATTTATAGCATATAATATTAGTAATATATATTTTATTATAAACTGTAATAGCACACAAATTGTTCAGTCAGGTTAAAATTTAGAGGGGGTGAACTCTTTGGGGGTCCATGAGCAAAAGGGTTCATCACAAATTTTACTAGCTTATCCTGATTAGTGACATGCAGTTTTTTGGTACTGATATTTTCTATAGGAAGTACCCATCTTAAGGTTCCACTTTAGGACCCATATATGTCTTAATCTGCCCCTATTTTTAGTTCTACAGTTAAAAGTAACAAACAGTACAATTATTATACCTTCAAACCATTAAGGTATAAAGTATAACATAGATACATAACTTAAATGAGAATGTGATGTGCCTCATTAAGTAGGTATTAGGGTTTTATTATGTTACGCTGGACTATGTAGATTTCTTGTTCTTTGAAATACAATTATAACTCTTTAAAGGAGATATTAATAAAAAAATGTTTTTTTTACTTAGAGAACTTTAGAATTGTCAGTTAGTTCTTTACAGGAAAGAGAAAAATTGATAATGCTTTGTAAGTAATACCTTTTAACAAACATTGACAAAAAATAATTGAATTTTGGTTATGCAAGTTTTATTTATAATTACCAAATTGGGGTTCGAATTGTTTCATTTTTTTTATTAGAAACTTGCATTCTTCTCTTACAATCAGCAATTTTTCTTGAATGTGTGATATTTCATCACATACAGATGCATTCTCCTAAAAATTTAACAACATAATTTATTATACTATAAATAATACACAGATGATTTAATACACACAAATACTGTATCTTTTATAATTTTTTTTATGACTTTGCATTTATTTCTGTAAAGGTTATTTTTTCTCCATTCCTCAGCATACGTTGAAGCTTGTGCATATTTTTGAGACGACATTAAAATAGATTTAAGATATTAAATCTGTAAAGATACTAAAAAAATTATCACCAGACGAATACACCAATTTCTAAAACCATTTATAACTATAACTATTTATAAGTATGCTTTTAACACATAAGATGAATTCTTTTTTATGAATTATACATCTAAACTGTTAAGTAGCTAATTGTTAAGTATATCTATTAATACAACATAAATTTTAATAATTCGAATTAATTAACCGTTAATACCAAGAAAAAATTAATTGTAAGAGATATTTAGTTTTATCAAACAAAAGATAAAAATTTTATTTCTAGTTTGTGATATCAAGGTAGTTTTATCCACCTTGGTAAATATATAGTTTCAATAGAACAAGGAGATATTAAACTAAATCAGAGTCTAATCTAGTTTAATATCTCCTTGTCTAATCATTGATCATAAGAGATATTTTATATACAATCACATTAAAAACTCTCAGTTAAAAACATTATTTAAACTATTATTCACCGTTTCTAAATCTTTGTAGCCACCAAACAAAAATGTATTTGTGTTTATATATTTTGATATATGGTTATTGTCGAACATATACTATACATAGATTAATTGTATTTAAAAGAAAATTAATGACATCGTATGTTAATGCGTTGTAGTATTTTTATTGAAAATTTTATTGATCCTCGTATTTACCTATTTCAGTTACCTTGTAGTTCTACAAATAAATTAACTCAGTAAATAAAATAGATTCTACTAGATTTTATTAGAATAAAGTTCATTATTTTTGTAATTTTTCTCTCCATCATTGGTTAATTATTTTAAATAATAAATATAAATTTTACTAAATTTGTAAAAACGCATGCGCTGGTTAAACTCTTAATAAATTAAATATCTCAGATTGATCCCTTAACTTCTATAACTTAGCGGAAAATATAGTGGTGATATTTATTTTTGATTTATATAAGGATGGAACCTGAAACCTCTCTAATTTGGCGATAAAAATGTTTGATACTTTTAAGTTCAACTAGATGTCACCATAGTATTAATTACATTCAATTTTTCTTATACTTTTTAAATTAAAAAATGACTGGTAAATAAAATTTGAACCATTACTTTAGAAAACAAGATATTTTTGTAACCATTTTTTTATATATAAATGAGTAATTGATGATTCTAATATTGCAATAAAATAAACATGCTGTATATTAATATCATTGTATTGTGTAATGCTATTGTATACATTTTTTGTAGATCCATAAAATTATTTTGTCGTGGCAATGGCGATTTGAAGTAAAAAACTTTCTGTTCTTGGTTTGTATGCGACAAGCGTCAACTCGATGAGCAATTACCTCTCGTGAGGCCCCTTTTTAATATGATGATAAGAATAAAAAAATAACAATGAAACACGAAGCGAATATAAAATCAAGTTTTTAAAAGAACTACATTTTTTTAATGATAAACAAATGTAACTATTCATTGTGTCGGTTGTAGCTAAGGTGGTGATGTACTATCAAAAAAAAATGTAATATACTTAAATATATATATATATATATATAT